GGTGTGGCAGTCAATTAGCATATTCCCTCCTATTGACTGTGGTGGGCACTGCCATATTTGTGATGGCATGAGGGGCAATCCTCTTTATTAGGTAGGATTGGAATTTTTCTTCCTTCAACCTCCTATACTATTTTGATTTGATTTGATACTTTGAGATGCAGTAGGGGATAGTGATTAAGAAAGCAAGCTTTGCATCCAGGCTGCCTGTATTTGAATCTTGGTCTTGTCGCTTATTGTTAGTAGAGGCCCAATGCATGAATTTGTGCACAGGTGGGGTCTGGCTGGCCTGCCCCGATCAGGCCAATCAGCCCGGCCTGGGTCTGGGAGGGGACAGCCTTAGGGGGGAATGTAGGGAACAACGAGGGACTGGCTGGCCTGCCCCGATCAGGCCAATCAGCCCAGCCTGGATGGGGGAGGGGACAGCCTGGAGGGCAGTGTAGGGGACTCGGGAGGTTGGCCAGCCGGCCCTGCCCCCTGGTCAGACTCACAGTTGAACTCCTGGTTGAGGGGACAATTTGCATATTAGCCTTTTATTATATAGGGTGACCTGGGAAAGTTATTTAAGTCTCTATTCCCCCATCTTTTCATCTGGTAAGTAGGGTAATAGTTTTTTCTTCTTCATGGTTGCCATGTGGATTGTGAGGAAATACTTATAAGGAGCTTAACAACCATGTACTCAGAAATGTTAGCTGTTATTTTCTTTAGTGACTCCCAGTAAGTGTGTCCTTTCTTTTTTCTCAGAGCAAAAGTAAGTGAAATCTTTGAATGCTTCACACAATATTTTTATTATTTGGTTAACAGATCAGTTGGATATTTTATAGTTATTTTCTTTGTTAAATATTCTCTCTTTTAAATTAAATTTTTTTGTTTGTAGGAGTCACTCCTGGATCTGCATACAAAAGTAACCCAAACTAACTGTGGTGAAAGCTCTGAACAGATTAAAAGGTTGTTAGAAACATATCTGATACTTGTAAAACATGGAAATGGATCAAAGATAACCAAGCCTATTGATGTTTGTAAAGTGAGTTCTCAACTTAATTTGCTTAGAGTTTGTTTATCATTAAAAGCTGATTGCTAAGTACACATTGTTTTTTCTTTTACTTATAGGTATTGTCTCAAACATTACAAATAGCCCATCTCTCCACATCTTGCCGGGAGACCCTCTTGGATGTCATTTCTGCTCTGATCCTTGGCGAAAATGTTGCCTTGCCAGAGACCCTCATCAAAGAAACTATAGAAAAAGTAATTTACTTCAGCTTAATTGAGTGATTAATATGTTTATCATTGCACAAGCCTCCTGGGGAGTATATTTGAATCATGGCAAAGGCTCTGCCTTCTGGGAATTTATAATCTTAACAGTCTTTGAATTGCATGCTATAATAAGGAAAACACAGTGTGACAAAAGCTAAGTCTGTTCAGCAAACGTTCGCCAAATGTATCTAGCCTACATTGCCCTGGGCATGGACTAGATTTCACAGTAGACACTATGGTGCCTTTGATTTTCGATAGGGAATGGTGCTCTGAAGTTAGTCAT